TCATCCTTCCAATCATTTCCTTCCCTGGTATCTGCAAATAGACAGAGGAAGTATTTTATCAGGCTGTAAACCAGCCATGAAATTAACCACCAGACCACATGACCAGGATGAAAGTATATCTCTGAGGCAAACTTTGAGGCAGTAAGAGGTAAGGAACATAGACTGTGAAGCCTGATAAACCGGCTTCAAATCTGATTCTGTCAGTTAGGTGACTTGGGCAAGTTACAGGATCTCTCTGTAGCCCAGCTTTCATACTGGAAGCTGTCCTTTATAAAGCTGTGGTGGGTATGAAATGAGACTGTGGGTAACAAACGTCAGCTAGAATAGATAGACACTGCTTAATAAACGGTACTTCTTACAGTTTTTCAAGAGAACCAGTGAATGAACCTTGAGAAATTGAGCTAGTATTCTTCTCTTCTTTCTTGTTAACTTCCTGGTTGTTACGGGGGCAATGGAAGCCCAGGACTGCGATGCCCTTATTCTTTTAAAAAAAACCAACCACAAACCTGGTGTTGTTGGGTCCATTCTGAATCTTTGTGGCCTCCCGCATCACAGGGCAGATGTGCTCTGGAGGGTCTTCTCAGCTGTAATCTTCATGGAAGCAGATCGCCAGGCCTTTCTTCCATGGTGTTGCTGGGTGGGTTCAAACAACTATCCCTTAGGTTAACGTTGTTGTTGTTGTTATGTGCCGTCGAGCCAGACCCGACTTGTAGCAACCCCTCCTTGGGTTTCTGAGGCAGTATCACTATGGAAGTAGATTGCCCCATCTTCCTTCCTAGGAGTGGCTGGTGGGTTTGAACCGCCAGCCTTCTGGTTAGCAGTCAAGTAGTCAAGCACAAACCATATGTGCCAGCCAAAGACCTTTTCATGCTTCTCTTGAAGACTAAGCAGTGGGTCTTGGCCTCTCCCTCCCCCAACTCAACATCTCAGTGGCTTATAGAATGCCTTCCCTCACCGGGCCCTTTGTCAGTCGTCATACATGCTGACTTCAGCATAATAAAAGGGGATTTCAGAGTCACAATTACTTACTAATTACAAAGTTGTGTTCAGAAAATTTATTCCTAAGCTGTGGAAAGTGTCCAGAAGCCCAGTTGTAAGCAATATTGATTCTACAGGTCTGTTCCCTGACCTGTCTTCCTATTCCCATTCCCCAAATTCATGAGCTTCACCTATTTCAGCCCAGATGCCAACTGATCACCTCTGCCCAAATACACCCTTCTGGTCACAGAGTGGAGCAGTCCAAATTATGAAATACAATCATATAAACCCTAAACCCATTGCCATTGAGTCAATCATGACTCACAGCACCCCCCACTGGGTTTCCAACACAGTAAATCTTTACAGAAGTAGATTGCCTCATCTTCCTTCTGTGGAGTGCCTGGTGGGTTTGAAATGCTGACCTTTTGGTTAGCAGTCAAATGCCTTAGGCACTGTACCACCAAAGCTTCTTATAATCATATAAGCTACCTCAAATGTTTTTTTAAGAGTCAAAAAAGAAATAAATACATGCATAAATGAATGAATGAATGAAATAAAGCAAAAAAATCAATATACATTTTTCTTAGTATATATTGCAATGTAAAGTACTTTATGTGTACTATTATTAATACTCAACAATAGGGCTGGGCAGTGTTTCATTCTGTTGTGCCCAGGGTTGCTATGAGTTGGCATTGACTCAACCACACCTAACAACATTATTACTAATATTAAATAGATATCTGCCCAATTCATATCATTAGCAAAGGGTCTGAGTCATTTGAAACCATGAAAGCTAATCTGTTTCACTTAGAACAATGCATCCTAAAAGACATGATAAAAATGATATTTGATGACAGGTGCATTTAACAGTCACCCTTTTTCCCTATGTGAACAGCCTACACACTTCTTTCCAAAAACAAACATTAACATTATTTCAACTAATTAAAAAAAAAAAGTAATAAAGAATAGAAGCAGAGCAATGTAGCAGCTTGACACTAAACAGAGAGTCACAAGAGAGAGAGAGTCAGCCTCAGTTCTGCCCACTGTCACTGTGACGTCACGGAAAATCGCTTCACCTCAATGGGCTTCTGCAGATGAGGGATAATGCCAGCCCACAAAGGTTGGATGAAATGTTTCATAGATTCTCTTCCAGATTTTGGCACAGGCAGTTGCAGGTGACCTCCCTCTCACCGCCTCCCCCCCCCCCCCCCCCCCCCCCCCCCCCCCGCCGCCATCCTGGTGTACTTACCCAAGTTCTTAAAGCTAAGTTGGTGCAACACCTATGACAAGGGCCTGGAACTGGTCCATGGCATCTTCCATCACACCATATTTGCCCCTTTCATTGGAGCTTCCATCAAAGGGCCTAGTTCTGTGTTCTATCTTCTCTCCTGCCTCTGGGCCCACCATCTTTCTATCCTTCTGTGTCCTCTTTCTTTGTAGAACTGTGCATCATCCTACCACTCCCTCCAACAAGTTGATGGAAAACCACCAAGAACCCCTCCTCTGGCAGATGGAAAGTCATTTCACGCCATTTCAAAAAGTCTTTCGGAGCCTAGGGCAGAGACTTTTCCTAAGCAGGATAAAGGGGAAGCTTCTTGAACAAATAAGAGGAAATTTCCACAGTATGAGTAGTACTTCTCGAAGGTCCTAAAGACTATACCAAGTTCCAGGACAAGAAATTCCCAGTTTTCCAAAACATTCTCCATATATAATAGTAATTACAGTACTAATATTTATTAAGTATTATTTCATCATTTATTTCTCACAATAACTGAATAAAAATAGGTGATATTATCATTCTCATTTCATGGATGGGAAACTTGAGGCTAAGAGGGGTAATTTTCTCAAGGTCACCCAGCTGGTAAGTAAAGGAAACTGGAGAGGCAGGCTGAGCCCTTTGGCTCCAAAGCCACAGCTCCCGACCACTATGTTCTCCTGCTAGATGCCCCCTACCCTCTCCTCCTTCTACTCCTCCATCCACAGCACCCTTCAAATCAGACACGTGCAAATGGTGGGGACTCTCAGGGCAGCTTTGAGAGAGTGATCCCTCCTTCTAACCCCAAGGATCCAGCGTCAGGGACTAGAATCACCTTTTCAACTCCTTGTAGCATGCTGAGCTCTGTGGTGATCAATCCTGATCTTTTTCCAAGGACAATCTCTATTCTCAAATAAAATCATTTCTCTGCAACATCGCTCCTTGAAAACTGGCATCCTGTCTCAATAACCATCAGTCAGGCATCTAGCCATTAACCAAGAGCATCTCTTCAGTCAAGGAGGAAATACTGGTAAGACTGTCTACTGAGTAAGTACCCACATGGGCCAGCCAGAGCTATGTCCTTTCCATGCATTGGATCATTTACTCAGACCACATTGTATGTGCTTGATGGCTGATCCTTGTATCTCTGGGTCCACTCTCTACCCTTATCCATCTGCACTCTGCCCCAGGATGCTGACATACATGGACATCAATGGGCTTCCTTGCCCCTGGGGTCTGGCTGGTTTCTGCTGATAGGAAGCTCTGGTAGGAGACTGGAGGGAAGGAGATTAAGGTTAAAGTATTTCTTCTTTGGCTCTCTCCCTGCAGGGTCCTCTTAGGTTAGATGTTGCCCTCACCCCAAGGGCACCACATTTCTAAAGGTTGCCTTCTGACCATGATTCTCTCCTGGGACATAGGAACCCTTCTCACAGGAGTCTTTGAAAGTGTGCCAAAATTTGTGCATCTCACAATATCTTGAAATTCTCTAAGTTCCAGTCTCTTTCTAACACAGGCATCATTGAAACCCTGGTGTGCAATAAAGGGTTAATTCAGCAAGTTTGGGGTGTTCAGATCCTGTGTTTCCCAAACAAAGGACTGGCCCTTGACAAGCTCCTGGGAAATAACCTCTAAATCCTTGGAATATCCTGCCTGATAAGAGTGTCTTTGTATACCTGGGAGTTTGGGACAACACCAAATCCTTTATGACAACAATGTGATTTATGGTGGGGGCTGGGAGCCACACTGTATTCACTTGACCTCTAGAAGGGATGGAAACTGAGTTACTGAGGTCAGCCATGTGGGCACTCTATGCCTACGCTACTGACCCCAATAAAAATCTTGGGACACAAGGCTGAGGTGAGCTTTTCTGGTTGGCAATACTCTACTGTGTTGTCACACATCATTGCTGAGAGAAGTTAAGTGCTATCTGTACAAATCCACTGGGAAACGACAACTGGGGGCTTGTGCCTGGTCTCTCCTGGATGCCACCCTATGTCCTTTTATCTTTGCTGATTTTAATCTGTATCCTTGCACTGTGATAAACTGTAACCATAAGTATAACAGTTTTTCTGAGTTCTGTGAGTCTTTCCAGCAAATTGCTGAACCTGAGGGTAATCGTGAGGACCCCTGACTCATTTGGAAAACAACAAAACCTTCCAATGATAACTTACTACCTTGGTAGTGGCCACATGGATAGAAAACAGAAATATATATGTTCAAGGACATTCAGAAAACATTCAGATAAGATCCAAAAGGACAGTGTAGGATGGGGAAACCAGGGAGGCTCTAAAGACATTTTAATCATCTCAAGGGACTTTTGAGCCATGGGTCTGGAAGCCTTGTGGTTTCTGGGACTAAGATGATGTGGGAAAGATAGATGGGAAAACATCCATGGCCCACCTTTGTGGCTATGATTGGAGGTGGGCTACTGGGTTGAATGGACAAGAGGGTCTAACTCAGTGTGACATTTCTCATCGGCTTGTGTCATACACTGTTTCTTTTCTTTCTACCCCAAGTTTCAGTGAAGAAGAAAATATGCCAAGTCTGAGTTTTCTAAAGAAAGAATGAAGAAAAAAGAAAAATCAAGAAACTTAAACTTAAGAGAGTGTGTATTCCTTTCATAGAATAATTGCCATCAGCTTCGTGCCACAGTAGGACTCACTCGCCTCTGTAGATGCAGATCAGAGTATCAGGTGCAGTGAGCCCCGGGCTCATGCATCCAGCCTACTCCCCGACTCCAGTGCCAGCTAGCGCTCCCCCCACTCACCTGGCCCCACTGACATCAACTCCGACCATCAGCTGCCCATTCAAGGAGAGGATCTCATCCCGCAGTCGGACCTTCCCACTCTTCCCTGCTGGGCTGTTCTTCCTCAGCTCTGTCACCCAGATGCAGCCCACGTCTAGCACGGGACCCTGGTGGGTTTTCCTCTTCTTGCCCCCTCTGCGCTTTTCCCCATAGTCCCCAAAAACGGGGATGTTCCCAAAACTGAGGCCCACAGTCTCTGTGTCCCCCAGCTCCTTGGTGAGGTACACAGTACAGATCTCCATTTCTGGGAGCCTGAGGTCAGGTGGGGCCACACTCTCATCCACAGCAAAGTTCAGCTGGATGTACTCCTGCAGCTTCTGGATGGCCGCCTGGAAGAGCCGCTGCTCCGGCCCAGCCTCTCCCTCCTGCAGGCTGTTCTGCAGCCACTGGCAGAGGAGGGGAAGGTGCAGCACAGCATTGTCCTGGGTGATGGGCATGGTGCTCACTCCCAGCTGCCAACATCACTAGAGAGCCTGTTCCTGGGGTCTGGGCCCCACAGGGCCCCATGTTTCCTGGGAACCCTGGCTGTCATTGGTTTTGCCTGTGTTCATGTTCAGCTGACAGAAGATCCCAGGAGACGCCTACTTGGGGCTGGGTTTTTTGCCTCGGCAGGAGGAGCACAGGACACAATTAGAACAACAGTGGGACAATCACTTTGGAGTGTTCAACAAGGGAAGGAAGGAAGTGTCCGACAAGTTCTTGCTCGGTTCGTTGAAAGTCAGGGCCCATGCAAAAGACACGGAAATGGGGTATTTCTCCAGCAGTGACAGCATGTCCTTCCTGGGCTCGTTCACACCTGGGAAAGGAAGAGGAAGAAACAAAACATTCCAGTCACTATAGTTAGCTTAGGAGCTCTGGTAGCATAGTGGCTCAGGCACTTGACTGATAACCAGAAGGCTGGCGGTTCAAACCCACCAGCCACTCCTCGGAAGGAAGATGGGGCAATCTACATCCGTAGTGATACTGCCTCGGAAACCCAAGGAGGGGTCACTATGAGTCGGGGCCGACTCGACGGCACATAACAACAACAACAACAACATAGTTAGCTTGTGACACAGAGCATAGAGCCTCTTCTATCACTGAGGGATGATGCTGGCATTCCAGACACCAAGCTTGCACTGGGAACCTAATGCTTCTCTCCATGACCCAGACCATGGCTCCCTCCCTCCTACATACACACACACACACACATACACACACACCCTTCCCTCAGACAGAAGCTTCTGGAATGCTGACTTCTTCCAGGAAATTTCCCTGATTTGCAAGGAAATGAGGTGACTTTTGCCAGGGCAACCCCCATCAATAGACTAACAAACTCACATACAACAAGGAGGCAACGTGACAAGACCCCTTTGGAGGTTGTAGAAGGGTTTTTGACATATATTTAGAAGCTTATATCCCTATGAAGCTAAGAAGTTATGTTCATTTGCCTCAATCAGCCCGACTGCACACAGGAGAACTCTCCATTCCAGAACTCTGTTCAGACAACAATACAAGAGACAGAAAAAGCCAACACCACAAAGATTCCAGCTCTGTCCCAGGGCAACACTAATCCACAGCACTGGCACCACTTCCACCTTTATCAGAGATTCAGAGGGAATCTTCTGCCTTTGCCTCCGACAGCTGCCTTGACTCTCCTTTCTCCTTTTCCTCCTGTAAACTGTTGAAAGTGACCTATTCCAGGCCAGTCCAAACGTCCTCTCCTGGGAGAGAAGACTTTGCCCCTCTTTTGTTTGCTTTTTTTCTTAAGTTTTTATTTTTCTTTTGTAATAGTGGTAAAATACATATAACATATAATTTAGCATTTCAACTATTTTTAATTTGTACAATTCAGTGCCATTAATTACATTCTCACTATTGTGCAACCATCATCACTACCTATTTCCAAGTTTCTTATCACCCCAAACAGAAACTCTGTACCAATTAAGCAATAACCTCCCATTTCTCCTCCCCACAACCTCTGGTAATCACTAATCAATTTTCTGTCTCTATGTATTTGCCTACTCTAGATATTTTATATAAGTGAGATCATATAATATTTTTCCTTCTGTGTCTGGCTTATTTCACTTAGCACAATGTTTTTAAGATTCATTCGTGTTGTAGTAAGTATTTAAACTTCATTGCTATAGCTCAATAATTAATTGTATGGCTATACCACATTTTGCTTGTCCATTCATCAGTTGATGGAAACTTGGGTTATTGTGATCAGTTGATGGGACCTTGTGGTCATCGTGAACAGTGCTGCAATGAACGCTGATAGCCATGTATCTCTTTGCTGGCTCTCTAACACACTGCTCACAGCTGTGCTGCTGTTCACTGGGGAGCAAGACCAGCTGCAGCAGGTGTGTCTCCCCTACTAGGATTGACACAGTCTAATCGTGTCCCCTCTGAATTCTGCACAGGGCCTTGCAACTAAAAGGTCCCCGATGAAAGGTTAACTGACTTACCTCGCCATTTCTTCTCCATCAAAGAAAAATTTTACCTCCATCCTCTGTAAACATAGAAAAATGATCCTCTTCCAAATTCCACTTTCACCCAGAGAAAGTCAATATAAACCACGCAGTCTAAGATGGAAAATGTTCTCCCAACTCCTTGGGAAGTGATTTAACAAGGAATAATAATAAATGGGAGAGGTGTCAGAAGCCATGTCAATAATAAATGACTTTATTACTCAGTAACCATAAAGAAATCTCCAATATAGTGAGATTTGATTTCCAAAAAACTTGAGTGCCAGCTATTAGCTGGCTCCAAATAAATCAAAAGCTGAGCAAATATCATCTAAATAGCCATAAGCCTATGAAAAAGAAATCTAAGATCAGAGAAAAGATAATACTTAAAAGTACAAAGATTGAATGTCTCCTATGGCCAAAATAAGTAACACCTCTCACTGAAAAATAACTTCACACACAGACATATTGAAATCTTATAAATAAATCAAAATAATTTCCATCAGGCCTAACCACTTTTATGAGCCTCCATTTCTTCATCTAAAATGAGAAAGTTAAGCTAAATCAGGTCTGAGGTCTGTCATGCTCAACAGTGAGGTCTTCAACCACAATGACAGTGTCTCATTCACAGTGAGACTATGCCTGTCACAAGAAGAAAAAAGGTTTAAGATCCTTTAAATTTAAATTTTAATGGGCTATGATTCAAGTGTCAGTCAGTCATAGCTGACATGGTGCTGGTGTTGTTATTCTGTGCTTTCACGTCAATTCTGACTTCTAGCAACCCTATAGGACAGAGTATGGTTTTCTACATTGCAATCTTTACAGGAAGAGACTGCCAGGTCTTCTCTCCCACAGAATCGCTCTGTGGGTTTGAACTGCAGACCATTCTAGCTAGCAGCTGAGCAATTAATCATTGTGCTATCTGGGCTTCTTGAGATGATTCTAAATGTATGAAAACAGAGTAAATATCTTGGGGCAAGGTGTTCTTTAAATAAGTCTGATTGAAGAAAACGGAACTTAAGAGTAATTAAAAAAAAAAAAAAAAAAAAGAAAGAAACTCACTGCCATCGAGTTGATTTGATTCATAGCGACCCCTCCTTGGGTTTCTAAGGCAGTATCACTACAGAAGTAGATTGCCCAAACTTCCTTCCGAGGAATGGCTGGTGGGTTTGAATGGCCAGCCTTCTGGTTAGCAGTCAAATGCTCTAGGCACTACCCCATTTTCTAGGAATCAATATGTATTCACCCATTCATTCAACACATATTTATTGAATATCTATTATGAACCAGGCCTTGAACTTGGCACTGGGAATATAATTGTCAAGAAGTATCCTTGCCCTGAAGGAATTCATAGCCTAGTGGGAATATGCATAAATGAATGGAAATTAGAGTGTAATAAGCTGATGACAACGCTGTTAACTGTCTCCACCTGCCAGAATTGACAGAGCTATATTCCTGGCAGCCATGTCTGTACAATAAAACCCATCCCAGTCCTTGTCAATTAGTCTACAGCTTAGCATCTCATCCAAGCTGTGACATTCAGAGTTCTTCTCCTGAGAATTGAGAACTGGACTCAGAGAGAAAGCGTTAGTCTCTAACGTGTAGCAGGAACCAGACTTTTTGAGCTCAAGGGCTCTGAAAGGCAAGACTGTTGTGAGGACTGAGTAGCAAAGAAAGTCAATCTGACAAGGAATAAAAATAGAGTTATCAGTACACGGCAGAGGGGCAGGACTGGGGAGCAAAAACTTCCTGGATTTCCCACAGCATGCCTGTTCTTAGCTCCTTCCACAGACAGGGCTGCATTGCTGCCCCCATCGCCAATCTGAAAGACTGTATCAACACTTAAAAACCTACTAAAAAAAAAAAAAAAAAAAACTACTTTAACAACAACAACAAAGAAAAAAATTAAATCAAAATGGAACTTCACCACGAACAATTGTCCCATTTACCATGAGATCAGAATAACTAGGTGGTGCTGGGGCTACCGCTACTGAAAATTTTGATCAAAGATTGTATAGAAGATTCCTAATGAAAAGTGGAAAATACAGAACAGAATTTCAAATTCTCATGGAATCCAGACTTTCTGGAACTAGAGGGGTTGGACGAACCCCCAAACTAATGCCTGAGATAATCTTTAAATCTGAAACCAAGACTATCCCCTGAAGTCTTCTTAAAACAATAGTTTAGCTTAACTAGTAAAGAATGTCTGCCTTGAGTATTATGCTTTTTTAAGATATATCTATATAGGATCAAAGGAGCTCTGGTGGCATAGTGGATAAGGCATTTGGCTGCCAATCACGAGGTCAGTGGTTCAAACCCACCAGCTGTTCTGTGGAAGGAAGATGGGGTAATCCACTTTTGTAAAGATTTCCAGCCTCAGAAATCCAGTGGGGGTCGCTGTGAGTCAGAATCAACTCAGTGGCAGTGAGTTTGGTTTTTTCAATATGGGATCAAGGAGCTCTGGTACAATGGTTAAGGCATTTGGCTGCTAACCAAAAAGTGTTGTTGTTATTGTTGTTATGTGCTGTCGAGTTGGACCCGACTCATAGTAACCCTCCTTGGGTTTCCGAGGCAGTATCACTATGGAAATAGATTGCCCAACCTTTCTCCTGAGGAGTGGCTGATGGCTTTGAACCACCAGCCTTCTGGTTAGCAGTCAAGTGCCTTAGGCAGTAAGCCACCAGAGGTGGGTAGTTTAAATCCACTAGCCACTTATTGGAGAAAGATGAGGGAGTCTGCTCCCATAAAGATTTACAGCCTTGGAAACCCTATGGGGCTGTTCTAGTCTGTCATATAGAGTTGCTATGAGTTGGAATTGACTTGATGGTGGTGGGTTTGCTTTGGTTATATGGGATTAAATTGACAACAGCAACTGTAAAGATTAGATAGAAACCTTTGGAGGCAAGGAGTTTATGTTAAAGGTGGAGGAACAACTCAGAAAAGGAGAATGAGGATGGTTGCACAACTCAAAGAATGTACTCAATGTTACTGAATTGTACATGTAGAAA